TATATATATAGTATGTATATAGCATTTATATTCCTCATAGTGTTGGCAAACTGTAAATTGTTTCTGGGTTTGAATTTTCAGTTTGTCACCATGAAATTCAGTTTTATCTCTTTCTCTAATCCTTTTAGGAATAAAAATTAATTTATTTTTTCACAGTGATCTACTATTGGTCCCTAAACAAAGTACAGCAGTGCCTGTGTTTCATTATAAGATCAAGGTGATTCGCTGTGGCATAAAGAATTTAATTTTCTCTTTTTCTATTACTCCTGGAGTCTTGTTCTTGATTTTTGTTATTTTCAGGATATTACCTTGTTGGAAACTGAGCATATGTTAGAAAAATACAATTGCTTTGTAATGAAAGCCCTCTTTTTTCAAAGATAGACAGAGTGGGGAAGGTCTCGAACAGGGAAACCAACCAGCACATCTGAAGCTACTGGGTGCTCTCCTGGCTCTGGCCGATGTGATTTGGCTACTTGCCTTCCCATACCCTTTACAGGGAGGGAGAAATAAACCCCTTCTGGCATTTTGTTTTGCTGCCCTGGCAAAATAAAAAGTGGACCTTTCTCATAAAACTTTTGTGGGGTCAATGCTAGACATTTAGGGTAGCGGATCTTTCTGTCTGTCAGGAATAGATCTGGTCGTGGGACTCATGGTGAGGAATAGAGACTCAGTGGGAATCCAAGAGCCAGAAGCCACATCTTACTTTGATCTTGTCTTAGGTCTGTTTCATAAGAATTCCTATTCCATTATGTTCTGCTTTGGTTCTGTAGGGGCAGTGCCAAGATCTGAGAAAGAGAAAACAGCTGGAGTTGCAGATACTTTCTGAACCTATTCAGGCATGGGAAGGGGAGGATATTAAAACCTTGGGAAATGTGATTTTTATGTCACAAGTAATGTTGCAGTATGGAACATGTGAGGTAAGGTGTTTCAAATCTCAACATCATTTCTTCTGTCTTTCATATGCTTCTTCCTTATCAAGGTCAAATGCTAGAACATTCAAATCACAAACTGAGTATCTATTCTTTGCCCAACACTCTGCTAGGTGCTGTGGGAGATAGGAAGAAAGAACAAGCAATGATCCCTACTTTCAAAGAACTTATTAAAAACAGATTAAAACACATGGTGCAACTAGAAAACAAACCAAATAGTGTCTGATTTTGCGATCTCAACAGTAGAGTCCATAGAAATTCAGAGAAGGGAGAGATCAAGAAGACCTTATGGAACTAGGACTTGAGGCGGGGAGGCATGAAAAGGAGGGCATCCCATAAGTTAGAGGTCATTCTTTGCTCAGGAGATAATAGAAACGTGCAGGACAGTAAGGAAACCAAGGAGCGAAAAAAGCATGCTGGGTATAGTGATAGAAAAGGTTGATTGAGTCAGGTAGAGTCAGGCTATGCAAGACCTTGGAAGTCAGGCAGGAGTAGTTCAGATTGATGCTACAGGCAGGAGGAAACAAGGAAAGAGTCTGGAGTAGTAGAAGGGGTGTTTGACACTATCTGACAACCATACATGGCAGATAAACTGGAGGGGATGGGACTAGAAACAGAAAGGCCAGCAGGGATGGAAAGTGAGGTGGAGGGAATGGAGCAGAAGGGGAAAATCCGAGATACCTTTAGAAGGGAAAGTCAACAGAAGTTGTGGCTCATGGGCTAGAGGAGATGATACATGTAACTTCAGACCTGTTAACTTTCAAGTGACTGTAGATATCCAAGTGGAGATGTCCTGTGGGCAGCTGTTAAAGTACTATGGAAATGTGGGTGAGAGATCACAGTTAAAGGCAGAGATTTAGATGTCCCTGACACATGTGCCTTCCTAGGAAGTAAATATTCAGAGAGAAGCACAAAGGGCTGAAGATGGATTATTTCTTTTAGGAAGGGGTCAGGGTAAGGGAGAAAGGTTGATTATGTCACCTGGTGTGATTTATAGGGTGTTAGAATTGTCTTCCCTCTCCCAACACATCTTCCTATGCTCCCTGACATATCTCTGGCAGAGATTCATGACTTTGGGTTAATAAGCAATCTCATTTAAAATGCAGATACCCCAGGGAAGGTTAATGCAGCGAGTCTAACGATCAGTCATTCATTCCTTTGGGATAAACCTCTTGGGTGATGGGAGGAAGAGTCAGTGCCAGAAAATAAAAAGACAAAGAGGATGGTAGAGAACTGGGGAGTGTGGTGTCATGGAAATTCCAGGAGGAACATTTGAAAGTGGTCAGCGCGCTGAGTGCCGCAGAAGGTTTAGAGGGCAAGGGATGTGAGGACCAAGAGGAAGCCATTGGATTTTGCTAGAAGGCAGTTATTGATGACTTTGAGAGAACAGTTGGGGGTGCAGTTAGGGAGGGATCAATGGCAAGAAAATGAAGACAGCAAGTATTTTGGCAATAAAATGTCAAGAAGTGGGATATTATGTATAAGGAGCCCCATGGGACAAGCAAAAGCCTCTTAAGACAGGAGATGTGTGTATGTTAAAAGCAGAAGAGGAAAAGCTAGTAAAGGAGGAGAGGCTGCTGGGAAAAGGAGGAGAGGAGATGTCTGTAGAAGTAAACCAAGCAAGAGGAAGGTGTGAGAGATTCAGAGCACTTGTTAGAATAGTTAGCCTCGAAGGGTTGCTCTTCTCAAATGGGAGGAAGGAGACGGAGACAGGTATAAGGATAACTGTAGCTGAGATGGTTGGGCCTGTAGGCCACATGTAATTTTTGCATATCCGTCTAAGGGGCTGAGAGCAGCCTTCATATGAAAAGGCTTCTTTTCTTTTGTGCCATTAAAAAATATACTTTTCTATTTTACATGAGCCCAATAATTATCTTGTTCTTAATAATTAAAAATAGTGTTATGAATAAGACTTTAACATACCTGTTAGAGCATAATAAATTTCCTGTCACCTGAAAATGCTTTCATTTTGCCATTTTTTCAAAGTAAAATACATTTTCATTTTGTGAACCTAGAGACTTATTTTGTGCCCTGGTCTAGCACATTTCACTGGCTGTGTAAACTGTGTGACTTCTTAGGCTTCCATACTTGGGAGAAAAGCATGGCTATTTGTATTTAATTGTTATATATAGGAAGGAGAGAGATAAACTGTGAATGTATATGTTCAAGTAGAATTCAACTAGTTTTGTGTTATTAAGTTGGATATCAGTTTTTAAAAATCACTGTTAATGTCTCAGTTGATTATATGAGATCTGTGTTATAAAGCAGTGATTCTAGAAATTCTTAACAAACAAATGTTCAATCTCTATTCTCCATTTAATATTGTTCATTCTCCCTCAGGAAAAACAGGAGCGGTACCTTATGTTATTTTCAAATATCTTGATAGTGTTATCTGCAAGTCCTCGAATGAGTGGCTTTATCTATCAGGTTAGTAAATTTCATATAAAACAAATAATAGGACCCACAATGAAAACAGGTTTCCATCCAGATGCAATATCTCCACTATGGCATTAAAAGCTCAAACAAGAAGAGGCAGAATGTTCTGACCCTTCATTGTAATTAAACAGCTTATGAGAGCAGATGTTCCTTAGAACAAAGACCTTTGTATCAGTATAATGAGTTTATCTCGAGTATCCACTGCTCTGGTTATGAACTGGGTTTTGGATGTATAAATGGAAATCTCAGTCTACAAAATAAATTAGCAGCAGCATTTTACAGGCTCATATTATTATTGCTGGGAAAATATGAAGCTGGGATCTCCTCCTATGATTGTCTTGTTACAGTCACATCACATTGTTCAGGTTTCTAAGATGTAAGTTATTAAATTCTTCAGAAATTAAACTTCCCTCAGTCTGCTCCGAAGATATAAAGTATCATAAGCTGCTATTACTGTTATATCTTGACCTGCCAATTACTCATTTTCATAAAATTTGAGCCTTTACTTTATTTACTGATTCTCATGAAAATGTGTTAGAAAAGTATATTGTTTTATAAATCCCAATTTTATGGTTTAGGGTGTTTTAGCCGAATACAACCCACATTTTCCCCTTGCTTTCTTGTCTGATTAAAATTTAGAGCAGGGACACATTATCTATTGACAGACTGGAGAAATACGTCTAGCCATAATTCAGCAGTGATTGCTGAGAGGGTCGGAAAATCTAAGTGAAATAAGTAGAGACACGTATAACCATAGAATTAATGGGAATGTTCTTTTTCCGATAGGGAAAAATACCAATAGGAGGAATGGTGGTGACTAGATTAGATGAAATTGAAGGGAATGACTGCACATTTGAAATCACAGGTAGGTAATTTTCACTTTTTATATAGCTACTTCAAATCCTTTTTGGAATGAAGTGGAGTTTAAATAAATAAATGCTATTATTTTCTGTTATATAGTTCATGAGTAAGTTTTACATGGCCATGACAAAGTCTATTCCATTTCCTGGGATAATTAGGGTACAGTGATAGAACGGAGAAATCTTCTGGCCATTCAAAAGCCTCGGTTTTGCCATTAGCTTCAATCTTCTGTTGCATAAGAGCTGCTTTTGAGAGCTGAGGAACAACGAAATGGACTGATGTAAATGTCATTTTCTCCCCGTCTGTCCCCTGGTGGCAGAGGAGCCAAAGATGTGGACTTTTATTAGCAATCTTATCGTCAGCCTGTGAATTAGCAAGATTTGGTTGTGTTTCTAAAAAGCGCCGAAAAGCCGTGAAACTTTCCTCGCAAATTGAGCAAAATGCCAGGCCTCAGTGATGCCCCCTGACATTTTGGCTTGTTAGCCCTTTTGCCAGGCCTATTTGATTTACATGTAACGGCTGTACTGTTTGAGCTGACAGGACACAATGGGTGAGACTGAGATCATGGCCCCAGGCCTTATCTGCTTCTTTCCTAATAAAAAGCCTAAGGTTTGATGTTTGTCCCAAGATTGTAGCCAGTCTTAGTTGGATCTCGTTCCTAATATCAAAGTTCAATATTCTCATTTTAGACTATGAACTACTAGATGGACTACGTGCTTAAATTTTCAGTTTGCAAGTTCATGTATAGTGAAGTTTTACACTATTTCTAAGATTCTGTAAACAGTTGAAATCAAGGATGGTTTTCTAAATCAGACCTGAATATTCCTTTACTTTACCATCACAGCTTATCTGTTCCTGAATAATGTTGTTTCAACAGGGTTATCCCATAGGTGTGAAAACCCCCCAAAATTAGACCCCAAGTCGTAGTTGTGTGAAGTATACTTATGAATGAAACAAGCTCAAGGTTTTCCTGGCTTTTTGTCTTCAAATGCTCATAATTTGTGACGTAGGCAACACAACAGAGAGAACTGTGGTCCATTGCAACAACAACCAGGACTTCCAGGAATGGTTGGAACAGCTGAACAGACTGATCAGAGGACCTGCTTCTAGCAGTTCATTATCCAAAACATCATCATCATCATGTAGTGCTCATTCTGTAAGTAGTGCATTTGTTCTGTCCAGGGATTATTGAGTCTTTTGTCAAATCCTGCCTGCTGAAGACTTACAAGAAGTAGTGAGCATGACCTTAGTTTTTGAGTAGTCTATACTCGTAGATTTTAAAGTACATTTAAGCCTCACTAATTCTGATTTCTCTTTGTGAGGTCCGTCCAGATTAATAAAAAGTTTTACTTAGAGGTGTGCAGTTTTGTTTGACAGTATTCCTATACTCCAACTAACGGCTAGCAAAGTATTTCTAACCAAAAATCCTGCTAAGATGTCTTAGTGATAAATAAGATTTATTTTAATGAGCAACCATTATTCTCATATTAACAATGTGCTAAGTCAAAATGAATAATTTGCCTCTCTGAGTACTTAAACATCTCCATGCCATCTCATTCATGCTCTCATATTTGCTCAGTAAACTACTTCAAAGACAAACCTTTAGCATTGTCTTCTTCTGAGTTATCACAAACTTAGAATTCATGGAATTTGAATTGAAGAGATTTTACTGTACTTGCTGAGTGAGATGGAAGATTCTGTGTTGTTTGTTAACACTCAAACCTGTGATGCCAAAATTCCAGTTTTGAGCACTGTGTGTTGTGGGGGAAGAACGTGGGCTTTGGCATCAGATCTGGGTGCAAATCTTGGCTTTGCCAATTACTAGTTAGTTCCTTCACTTTGCTGAGTCTCTGTGTTAGTTGTTCTGATCAAATAACCTAGTTAAGTACCTAATGGAGTGCCAAACACATCACTGAACTCAAATGGTGACTTTTATTCTACTTTCCTCCCTTATAGAGGAAAAAATAAATCAGACTTTAATGAAATTCCAGAAAAGAAAGAGAGGACAGGATCATGGGATGTTGAGTCAATTTTGTGCTGTGCCTTAGAGACCCCATAATCTTGACCAGAAAGTGCCAGTTCTCAAACTGGAGACTTTTCTTTTTCCATCTTTCCCTTTCTGTGGCTGACTTTGCTGATCCAATGAAGCTATTGTTGTTCTCTCACTGTGTGGCACGAGGTCGGGTTCAGATGGCAGATTGCCAACATCTCATCAGACATTTTCCCAGTCTTTTAGCTCTACTGGACAGCCCCGAGGACCCTTGGAGCCTCCTCAAATTATAAAACCGTGGAGTTTAAGTTGTCTACGACCTGCACCTCCACTTAGACCATCAGCAGCACTAGGTTATAAAGAGGTAATTTTGCTATGTATGGTATAAAATGCTTCTGACAAGTTAATTTTGTACCTTATTGCAAGTAGTTCTGTGGGAATGTGCTAGAATTTATGATAGGTGATATAGGTCAGTCAATCTGGAATTGCTAGACTCAGAGTAGTTTTTTTGTTTCTTAATTTTCCATTTCCCTGTTATCTATCACAAATATTGATTGACTATACACAGGGTCTATGTGCACTGTGTGAGTTTCCCCAGTCTCTTCCCGAAGCACCTCTGGTTTACCTTGATGATTATTAGGATAATTCTTTAAATTAGTAAATGATGTACACACATCTCAAACAAAAGCCACTTCACTGTAGTTGAATTTTCAACCAAGCAGACCCAATTCTGCATTTTGGATCATTTTGATCTTTTAAGCCGTATCAGTAAAGTGTTGTGGGGCCAAGCCATGAGTTTGAACTATGAAAGTGATATTTGCTGCAATTGGAAAGGGAAAAGAATTTAATGAAAAGAATGTCTTTTAAAAAGAGGCTTCTCAGAGACAACCTTAAAAGGCCATTTGATATTTGGGTAGTGTGGGGATTTCAAGGTTTTTGTTTTCCTCTCGAAGTTGAAGTTAGGAAATGTCAGTCACTAGCTTCTGTAACTGTGTGGAGCGTTACTTTTCCATCCAAACAGTGGCTTTATCTCTAACCTGTTTCAATCATTTCAGATTTCAGAAAAGATGCTCATTTATCAGTAACTGTTCTTTAAATAGGCTTTGTTGAGTGAGGACGAAGTTTGTGACGGTTATGAGATGAGTCTTAGAATTGCGCTGCAAAGGCGGCATATATTTCTACATCAAATGTGTGTTTTGATGAGTGATGCAGACTTAGCTCAATTTTGAGTGTGTTTTGATTTAAACCACCATGCTTCTGTTTCGATTAATTGTTGCCACCAGCTCTTAGTGCAGTAAAAAATAGAACAATATTTGGACACTGGAGGATTTTTTGATCCTTTCACCACATCATAGGAGAAATAACTTTTGAGTTGAATGTTTATGATGTAACTCTATTTAGAATTTGGCCAGGAAAAGTCCCACAGATTTGCTTTGGAAATTGATCTGCAATTCTTGCAATCATACAATTTTCTTCTTTGATTACCTAAACCAGGAGTGCTACTTCATAGTTACCTAGGTCCCCTTTTTAATGATGGATATTTTGTAATTGTCAGTTACTAAATTCAAATTAAGGTGAGCTCTGAAGGGTAAAGTTGACTTAATCATTCACATAACTAATCTATTAAAACTAAGGCATGATCACTTTGTTTCTTCTGGGGAAGAGAGTTATTAATATATTCTTACTATATAGTATTTATTTCAGTTATTTTCAGCATTTGTTATCCTGCACAGAACTGTATTCCTTGGGCTTTTGCATGATGATATTGCATCTGAAACTAATGTGGGAAATGTGATGATATTCTCGCTGTGTAATTTATGATAACACTAACATTTCAAATGTTGTTTTAGAATTATTGATAAATGGATTTGGTCATTATAACCATCGACCTCTCACGCTCATCTTCTCTTTCTTTACATATTCATTTTAGAGGATGTCTTATATCTTAAAGGTAAGGGTAGAACAATATCTTTGGCTTACAGTTACATCATAATGCTGTGCCTGTAACCTTTGATGAATGAAGCTTTCCTTTATGCTTGTTTTGTCCCTTGTTATAATTGGTGGCTAAAATATGAAGATGCAATTCTGACATGTAAGTATTTTCTTCAAAAAGCAGGCTCGTGTGAAAAACATATGAAAATATCATCTTATAATGCCTTAAAATGCTCATTTTCCTGTTTTTTAAATGCTACTTTTTCCTGTTATTTATGTCACATGAATTTTTCATATCTGTCTGTTTTAGAGTCTGAGTGAATGACTGTGTCTAAGTGAAAGAAATTAAGTTCTTTGTTTTATAGATTTTTAGGGTACTAATTATTATCCATGCTTCATGTATATACATTGAATGGAAGATTGGGATAAGATGATCAAGAGGGTTTTTTTCCTAAGTCTAAGATCCTAATCTATTTACTTTGATATTGATCATGAGCACTTTCCCCGACCTACTAGTTATTCACAAGGCAAAAGCAAATTCAATAATTTCCATCTCTTTTATCTACTAATTAAAAATACAGCCTTGTATTATGTATGGTTAAGCTTGGCTGTAGGTTTGTTACTCCTAACCCAAAATTATTTATCAGGAAATCTTCATTTGACTTCTCTCTGACTGCAGGAAAGTTACTTAGTTTCTGCGTTAATTTTCCCATCTGACAAATGAAAATTATATTCTTCTCTGTGGGACTGTTGCTAAGGAGAAATTATTTAAACAGTTTTGAAGCTCTTTGAAAAGTGATAAATACTATATTAGTAGTTACAATTGATATTTAATTTCCCTAAAACTGTGTCAGTGGAGAACATAAACCAAGTTAGAAATGCTGTTATTTTTCTAGGGTTGACATCTATTACTTTCTCTGCAGGGGATACCCTAAAGGCATTTGGCCCCCTGGAGAAGCTGCCAAGTCTTCAGTAGGCACACTCCATTCTTATTCTCACTCCTATGGAAATCAAGAGGATAATGTCATTGCCTCTGTTTTATTTAACCCTTTCCAGTTTATTGGAGCCATTTTTGATGTGTATAGCATTAAATTTTGATGTACTCCTAACTGAGATTGCCAAAATAAGAGAGAGGCATTCTATTTAATTTCATTTGCTCTTTTAAATTTGTTTTGGGGGAAGAATTTTAATTCACTAAGAAACTTCTATCCTTACAGGAGTCTAGTAAAAGCCCCAAAACGATGAAGAAGTTTCTTCATAAAAGAAAGACTGAGAGAAAACCATCCGAGGAGGAATATGTGATTAGGAAAAGTACGTGTTGTCTACATTCTGAAAGTTGTTTATGGATGAACTAACATGAGAATCTTTTTTTACCTGAGAATTTTTTTAAAAGCAGATGATTAGAACAATTTTTTCTTGGCATCGTCTGTTACATTTAAAAAAATGTATGGAAAAATTTGGTCACCTCTAAGACTTTTGAATAAGCTGCTTCCTGCTGCATGCACTTCATGTCATCTTAGGCATACATCATCTGTGCCATTTTTGAGAACATTTCACTCCAACTAGTTTAGAACCTGTAAAGGGACCCATTTGCTATGGGTACATGTTTTTCCCCTCCTACTTTCTGATGCCTGAGATATTTTCCTATATAGAGACAGACTAAATAGACATGAAAGCTGAAATCCTTCTGGAAATCTGATGCTCAGTGATGTTCTCAATTAGCCAAGGAATCGGACTGCTGACATCTAGAAACATGGCTTGATTCAGAGGCAGACTACAAGTTTGGTTAGCCAATCGATATGGACATATTTGACTATAAGGCTGTGAACAAGGCTCTTTGGGATACATGTGAAGGAGTAAGTGATGTGTCACAAAGAGGTGACAGAACTGTGTGTATCACTTGAAAATATAGTTAAGGCCGAAGGCAGTGGCTTACGCCTATAATCCCAGCACTTTGGGAAGCCAAAGTGGGAGGATTGCTTGAGCCCAGGAGTTCAAGACCAACCTGGGCAACATAGTGAGATTTCATCTCTACAAAAAATTTAAAAAAAGAAAAAAGAAAATATAGCTTAAATAAATCTTTGCTCGACTACAGCTTTGGCACGCTGCATCCCCCATCCCCCACCTAGGTGCGCACATCGGCATGTTAGCAGGGTGCTGACATCCAGTCATTTCAAAAGTGAATTGGGAGGGGGAGAAGGGAGGAGGAAGAATTAGTGACTCCGCTGACTGGATGGAAAAATGGGTGGGGTTAACAGGGGAAAGCTTCCTAGAGAAAGTGAGCCTTGAAATGTAAAGGAGGAGAAGGCTGTTGTGTATGAGAGCTGAAGCCCAGTGCTGTGATTTTGGCCTCCAAGAGACCACTGACAGAACCCCCCAAGTTACAGCTCTGGGCTTCAAGAGCAGGCCCCCCTCTGTGCTGCACTTGCTGGGGCTGACTCCAGAGCTCTGTGGGGATGCTGTCACGAGGGTTGGACAGCTCTTTCTCCTGCCTTTCAGAAACACTACTGGCCAGAGAAGCCAGTCCCTGGCAGTAGAATAGTGCACTGCATCATTTCGAGAGTCTAAGAGGCATATACCTATGAAAAGTCATTATCAATTAAATTTGACAGGTACAGCTGCTCTTGAAGAGGATGCTCAGATTCTTAAAGTGATCGAAGCCTACTGCACCAGTGCCAATTTTCAACAAGGCCATGGCTCAAGTAGGTGCCCCCAAACTGCTTTCTCGAATGAGTGATGTTTCTTCTTTACTGCTTACTGCCTCTTAGAAAAAACGAACAGCGGCCCAGATGGGTTGCAGGGTGTGGAAAGCAGGTGACTTGGTGCAGAGGAGCGGTGCAGGACTGCATCTTTCAGATAAGGTGGTTTTAGCTACCAAGCGGTTTGTTTACCCACTGTTGTTTTCACCCAGAAAGAGAGATGCAAGAGTAAAAATGTTGGAGGTGATAGAAATGAAAAAAATTTTTTAAAGTCATTCTCCTTTGAAGCACACAGATACCTTCACCAACACTAGTTAGGAATTAAAGAGCCCAGAGAGTTCCTGTGTCTGTGAACTGATGCTAATCTCTTCTTATAGGCAGATTTGGAAAGGAAGTCAAAATACTATCTTTGATCAGCTGCATATTTAAGCGAACAATGCTTCACCAAACTCAAGTTTCAAAGTTGCTCTGAAAATCTGGAAATGTAGCTGCTTAGCAGGGCTTGTTCAAAATGTATAAAATTTATCAGGAAGCTATTAGGTGAGGGTATTTCCCCAAACAACTTTCAGGTTACAAACTGAAATTGAGATAAAATTTTCTGATTCATCCTTGTGCTTTTTAAAAGCCAGGTCACATCAATTATGTCTTTTGTCTTCCATTAATTATAAACATTCAGGATACATTTTGTAAAGCTTTTGCATCTGCATAAGAAATGAATACTCCATAGCACTTCATTTTGGACAGCCACTGACCAGTCACTTGAGTGTGGCAGGGGATTTGTTAGGTTACTTTGATATATTCTTTCAAAGTAACACTTCTCTAAGGCCGACATGAGGAAAATGTTCGATGTGAAAGTTGACACGTTTGACCGTGAAGAGGGGACTGTCACACTTTCTGCTTCACAGACAAAACCTGGCTGTGGCTTTGGTCATGCCCCGCCCTGATAACAAGTTTCGAGGAGACAGGAGAGGAAAGTGAGAGTGGTTTTTATCGTGAAAACTTGGAAAGAGGGGGACAAGTAGACACCACAGGAAGCATCCCTCATACAAAATCCGATCTCGCCTCCTTGCCCACCACCTCTTTTCACGTAGACACAGTTGATGGATCTGCTCAGAAGTGCAGGAAGGTGTTCTAGCTTAAAGAGGCATGTCTTCACCCCTCCTCCCTAGCCTGCCTTTGTCATATGGAAAGTGTCTATCACCGTGCTTGGCACACGGCAGGCCTTTTAGCATCACAGTGACCTGCTACCCTCTCTCCCTCTCCAGCTAGAAGTCCTGTTTCCCTAGAACTGACTGCTCTTGGCTCGTGCTGTATTCATTCCGTGAATCAGTCACTCACTCTGCTGTCCACTTACAGCCGAGTCTGGCTATCCTGGGGGATTGGGTCCCAAATCTGAGGATGTGCAAGTCCCTGATACAAAATGGCGAAGTATTTGCATGTAACCTACGCACATCCTCCTGTATACTTTAAATCATCTCTGTGTTACTTATAACACCTAATACGATATAAATGCTATGTAAATGGTTGTTAGACTAAATTGGTTTTTTAATTTGTATTATTTTTTCTGGATATTTTCCATCCATGATTGACTGAATCCGTAGGTGCGGAGCCCTCGGATATGGAGGGCCGACTGTGTTAAGCACCTACAAAGTGCTAGGCCCTGCGGAAGGGAGAGAAACATCTGACGTCAGGATAGGCGAGGTGATTAAGTGAAGGCATGAATGTACACATCGCTGAAGGAACTTGGCCTAGAAGAGAGGAGGCCAGTGGCTCAGGGAGAGTGAAGATTAAGCACTTGAGCTCTGAGAGGAAAGATTCAGAGTGAGGGGGAGGTTGGAGGTGGAGGAGAGCTGTTTAGTTGAGGCCTCGTGTCTGTTTTGTCACCTCGTCTGCCCCAGAGCCTAGACACATTCTTAGCAGAGAGCAGTGAGGACACCTGCCTCTTTGCCAACCGCACTCTACCCTTGATCAAAGTGATCTTACTTGACCCTACTTTGTCCTGTAGGACTGTAAGGAGAACAACTGAGCATGAACGGTGCTTCTGAGGCCCTTTAAACATCTATTTCAGTACAGTGCTACTCTCCACCTGACTTTTACTACAATTACAGAGCACCATAGCATAGGATGTGGTGTGTCATTTCCTGGAGAGTTTCAGGGAAGGGCAATCACTGGTCAGCTCTCTGCTCTGGGGGAGGCAAAACAGGAATGAATGGGGGTCTTGGTTGAGGACAGATATTACAGGAGCCCTTTCATGTTATTTCTCTGAGTATGAAATGCTCACCCCTACCAACATATGCAAACAAGAAAATTGAATCAATATATTTGGCCATTTAAAATTTCTCATGTCGGGAAGATTTAGTCAGCAAATGTTGGGTGACTGCCCTCTGGGTGCAATGTAGCTATATGCTGTGAACAAAGGCCCTTCTATAACAATAGTGGAAGGGAGCTAACACCTATAAATGCTCTTCACTAGTAACTTCCCCCTCTCCTCACTCTTGCAACCCTTGTCTGTAGGTACTCGCAAAGATTCTGTCCCACAAGTCTTACTCCCTGAGGAAGAGAAACTCATCATTGAAGAAACCAGAAGCAATGGCCAGACCATCATGGAAGAAAAGTGAGTAGAGCAGGCTAAACCTTGCCTGGTTTGTCTGGGGGCTGGCAAGAAGGTCTGGCCAGGCAGCCCCTCCGCATCTAGGAATGTGACCCTCTTTGCTGAGCACATGCAGTTGGCAGCCTTGGGAGGGCAATTCCCCAACAAAGGAAGAGGGGAATGACAGGTAGAGGTGCCAGAGCCCTCCAGAGCAGCTCCTCCATACGCTAAGCTACTTCAGGGCACATGGGAATGAATATCAGTGCTCTGGATGGGTTTAGGAGGTACCAGAGAGATATCGCTTACATTTTTTGAGTCAGGATCTATACTTTCCCATAGCTGACCTCATTTAAAATCCTCCAGCAATCCGGTGAGATAAGCATTACTCTCACCACTTTTACACATAAGGAAACCGAGGTTCATGGAAATTATGTCTCTGGCTTACCTTTGCACAGTAGTGAGTGTGACCTAAGGGGGAAAAATCAGGTTAAGTACTTTATGGCTCATAAAATAAACACAAAGTAGCCAAATAATTCATTTGTTTAAACTTGAGTCATTTCTGAAGTCAAGCCTAAATTTGCTTAGGACAGCATATTTCAAGGTGCTTGTCAATGTCTTTTTGCATCTGGTGTATGAAGTGATATGACAAAAGAACTTGGACTTGAGAGAAGAACAGTCCTGGTTCAGCTCACAATTCTACTACTCATTAGCTGTGTGACCATAGAGAGGAGCAAGTTCCTTCACCTCTCTATGCCTCAGTTTCCTCATCTGTAAAATAAGGATGACAATAACAGTTTCAGAATAGTTGTGAGGTTAAATGGAATGATAAGTATAAAGGCTAGCTAGCACTCAACAAATAATGATAATTATACTAATTATTATTGTAGCTATATTAATCTTCACCAGGGAATGTGATATTATCCCCATTTTATATGTAATGAAATTAAGACCAAGAGAGGATCAGAAGGAAGGAAACTGGTTACCCAAGGTTCTAGGACTAGTGAGTGGCAAGATCAGAACTGAAACCTAGATCTCTAAAGTCTTGTCCAGGGAGAGAGCCAGAGAGGAAAAGCCTGTTCTACAACCCACCCGGGGCACTTCATCCTTTTTTTTTTTTTTTTTTTTTAGTAATATACGGGATCCTTCAGAAATGATGCCCCTGATTCTGTGTCATGTGGGGTCAAAGAGCTGAGAAGGGCAA